GAGCAGCCAGTGCTCTTAATTGCTGAGCGACCTCTTCATTCCCCAAACACAGTAGTCTGAAGACAAACATACTGACAGCCTTCTGAGTTTTCAAGCATACCCCAGCTGTTCTTGCCTCAGGGCCTCCGTGCTTATTTTGTCCTTGTCTCTTCTATGTGTTGTGTTCTTCATCATGAACCTTGAGTTAGAGCAGCTTCTGTTCATCCTTTCTCTGGTTCAATGTTACCTTAAAGAAGTCCTCTCTACTATATCTTAGGTACTTGCCTGCTCACTCTTTTGTAATAAAAGCAACTTTAAATCTTTATACATCATCATTGTCTATTTTCTCACTTATGTTGGAGCCCACAGAGGTTTCCTAGTGAGATCTGAGCTTGCTTTACCAGCAGGGCTGCATAGAGGATGATTGGACCATAGGCCTGGGTACCAGGTGTTTGGAAGGGGCTACACTTTGTTGTATCAAGCAAGGGGGAGGTCTTTTGCCTTGCCCCTTGGCATTGTTATAAAAAGCCCTTCTAAATAAAGTTCTGGGCTGTTGGGTATTGACCTAGGTCCTCCCGAGGCTATCCTGTGTTTCTGTCTTTCCTCTCATCATCTTGGTATCTCTTTCTATCTAAATATTTTCCACTTCTCCTTCCTCAAGAGTACCCTGGGGTAAAAGTGGGAGTGGGTATCCCACATGCTTAAAGTCGTTTCTTATTTCTTTTTTCTTCTCCTCTTCCTCTTTTTTCTTTTTCTTTTTGCCTATTTTCTATCCCTGTCTTAGTTACTTTTCTATTGCTGTGATGAGACATCATAAGAAAGGCAACTTATAAAGGAAAATGTTCAGTTGGGGATTGTTTACAGTTTCAGAGAGTGAGCCATCATGATGGGGAAAATGGCAGCAGGCAGGCATCCATGGCACTGGAGCAGTAGCTAAGATCTTATATTCCAATCAGCAAGTTGGAGGCAGAGAGAGTGAGACTGGGCCTTGTTTTGGATCTTGCAACCTCAAAGCCAGTGACATACCTTCTCCTATAAGGCCACATCTAATTCTTCCCAAAACAGTTCTACTTACTAGAGACCAAGCATTCAAATATATGAGGCTATGGGAGTCATTTTCATTCTCATTCAAACCACCACAAGCTACTCCCCGTATGAGCTGACTATGTGAGCAGAATCTTACATTGTTGCCTAGAACAATCTGTGGTGCATGGGAGAATCTCCACAAATTGGTGGATACAGGAAAAAAAAAATACCTCAGCCTCTAACCTAGCCCCATAGTGGACTCCCAACAATTAGATAGGGCCTCAACAATGGTGAAGAAATTCCTCCCTCTTGCCTCTGAGAGGCTCCCAGAGCACAAAATGTAAAATGATTCAGGGCCTTGGTGACTGGCCTCACCACTGTGTTTGTTTTTGTAGGCAGTGATGTTCTCCTTTGGTCAGTTCCTGCACAACTCCCTGTTCAACTTTATAGTTGTACACTTAAAGGAAGAAACTTTTCTTAACAGTACTGCCCAGGGTCAAGACACTTGTGGAAATCCTTCTGGAGTTAGCAGCCATGTGCCTCAATTCCCATGGAGCCCAATTTCAAGTCATTTTAGGAAGGTAGCATTGTATTATTATTTGCATTTTAGACATGGGGAAACTGAGTCTCAGAAGATATACAGAACTTACACTGAATCTGATGGCTGAATTGCTTATGTATTCAACAGAGTTTGACAGTACAGCTGGTTGTCAGAATGTCTGTTGATTCTAAGTAAAGCAAATTAAGCAGTTATTTTCACAAGGCTAGGAAATAGTTTCTGATGTGTAACTCTACAATGTCTAGAAGGACCTTTGAGATTATTCAGACTGGAGCTCAATCTTCAGAAAATCACAGAGGTCCTCAAGATTCAACTCTGGGGCTTTTGTTTGCTTTAGACAGATCTGTTTCGTGCTAGACAAAGAAATCTCTCCCAGATTCTCTGCTGTACACATCTGGCACAGAGAGAGGGATGGGGCTGACAGACCAGCCACTCAGATCTCATCCTGGCTGCCAGGCTGGCTCAGAGGTATAAACTGGCTGTGTTAGCATGTTTCAGGGGAGTTAAGAAACAAAGGTGTGGGGAGGGGAGCCCCCTTTGCTTTAGAAAATGCTATCAATCCATTAGAAAACATACCAGACAATTACTCTATTGGAGGAGAATAAAGGCCTGGAAAAGCCAGTCATTTCCCCTGGTACTGTTTTGCTGTGGAGAGGAGGCATCTGTACCATTCATAATTGTAGTGCAGAAATTGGCACAGCAAGAAACCCCAATGCCAGCTGTTCCAGGTAGACCAGATGTCTTGAGGAGAGGCTTTCTCTACAAGTACATGAAATGCCTATTTCCTGACACATTCACTGATGAATAAATAGCTATGTAATATCTGGAATAGATTTTTAGTTCAAAACTGGGGGTTGAACCCAGGAACTTGTACATGCTAGGCAAGTGCTCTACCCCTAAGCTATACCCCTAAACCCTACACTAATTCTTCCTTAATTGGATACTCTTTTTTTAAAAGTTTTCCAATAGTTCTGTTATCACAAGCAACAATGGTTCTTTTTTGAGACAGGACCTCATATATCCCAGGCTGATCCCAACCTCTTCATGTAGTTGAGGATGAATTTGAATCCCAAATTTTTTTGCTTCCATCATCTAAGTGAGTTCTGGAGTTCAGTCATGTACCACTACACCTGGTTTATTCTGTGCTAACCATGGAAAACAGGGCCTTTTGCATTTTAGGCAAGCACTCTACCAACTGAGCTATATCCTCAGCCCAGGAAACAACTTTTCAGAGCACATTATCCAAAAGCATTGTTTGATTTTCCCCTTATCCCATCATAGAATTGGTCTGCTGCCAATAGATGTTAAGCTGATCCTCTGCTATCAGATGTTAGAACACAGATGAAGGGAAGATGTCGGTCTCCACTTTGTTGGGGGCAGTGTTAGAAGTGCCAAAGAGGAAAAAAACTGGAGAATGTGACAGGGCCTTCACCACCATCATTAGTAATCCAAAAGAGGACAGAGGGTGTAAGGGGAAAGACAGTGGCTTGGAAATGTATAAACATCAGCCATGCGGTCACAGAGTCAACAGTACTTGCCTGGGATGTGCGACTTTGGCTGTGAATTTAAGGAGCATGTCATTCATTCAACATTATTTACTAAGGTGTTTCTATATCTAGGTAACTGTTCTAGGCATTGGGATCTAGCAGTGAAAACCAAACCCAAACAAAACCAAAGAGAGATTTTTGTCCTTGTGCAGCATTTATGCCAGTGGAAGATTCAGAAAGCACAAATGATAAAAAATAAATTATATAATATGTCAGCAGGTGATAAGTGCTATAGCAACAGGAAAAACAAACAAAACATAAAACAATGACAAGCTGATGGGTTCCTGGAGTCCAGGTTTCTGTGGAAGTAGTATTCGTGTGAAGAGTTGACAGCATGAAGAGCCAACCATACAGATACTTGATGGAAGAATATTCTAGGCTCAGAGAGTAACCAATGCAAAGAGGAGTAACAGGATAAAAGCCTAAGGTTGGAAGGTAAGTTGGGGGAATAGCAAGGAGGCCAGTGTTGCTAGAACCAGGTGAGTTGGTGGGAGGACGGGAGAGAGGGGGAGAGAAGTTCTGGAACATAGAGGGTCCCCCAGTTTTTAGAGATTTGTTGGTCCTTGTTGGACAGAGATTTTGGCTTAAAGAAGAATAGAGAACTCCTGTGCAGTTTAGTTCAGATATGTAACCTTTTTCTGATTCATGGTGTTTTAGGTGATTTCTTTTTGTTTTTTTTTTTTTTTTGTGTGTGTGTGTGTGTGTGTGTGTGTGTGTGCGTTTCTAATCTGTGTTTGAGAATAGACTGACATAAAAAGAAAGTATTTCTCTGTTTTCAGCATGTTGCCTCTTATGACAGAGTTAGTATGAGACTCAAATGCACAAATGCCTTAAAAATTATAAAGCATCCCCAAACTATGATTATTTTATGCAAACAATAGGGTGTTCAAAAGCCAATGTCTTCCTTGCTTTCTGGGCTCCAGAAGTTACAGAATTTACATTAAACTAGACTGCCTATAAGAAGCTAAAGGAAAATTGCCCTGCCTATTCAAAAGGAAATCTGTAATTTATGCCTAAGTTTTATTTCATCAAGATTGTGCAGATTGCTAGTGATTTTATGTTTAATTTGGAGAGAAATGCCTTAAAAATAACATGGAAGTACTGGGTCTGAATACTGAAGACTTTAAATATAACAGCAGAAGCAGAAGTCTGGGAAGTTTAAACCTATTTCCTCTTCCTTAATCCCTGGGAGAGAGAGAGAGACACTGGCTAGCTGGAGCCTCCAAGCCAGAGCCTCCAATCTTTCGCAGGAGGCATTGGCTCTTTGCGGTGGCCCTGTCGCCAGGTGAAAGCTGTCTGCCGGTGGGAGTACGCACCCTAGTGAGGCCAGCTGACCTTCACAGACTCTGGGGAGAGACGGTGAAGGGTCTGGGAGAAGACTCCTTCAGACTCCAAGAGAAAGACGAAAAAAAAGGGGGAACCCTGAAAGAAGCCTGAGCCTCCAAGAAAGATAGCAGTGAGTTAAGGAACAGGCGTGATTATCCAAGGTAATTATGTAAAAGAGAAGCAAGCCAAGGAGTTCTAAATGGCTGCAACTTGGAGTTTACTCTGTCTAAGGTGAGTGTTCAGTGTTCGTGTTCGTGTTCGTGTTTCTTGGCCAAGGTTTCTCTCCCCCTCCCCTTTCCGGCTCTTGCCCACCCTCAATTTGAAAAGGCAGCTTGCTCCGCCCGCCAGACCCCACTTGCAACCCTTCTCTTCCCAGTCATCTTCAGCCCCTCCTAATTAGCCCTGTACCCCGCCCCCACCCCAGCTCCTGGGACCCTGAGTTCTCTTCTCCTCTAGTAAGGAGCAGCTGTGTTTATCCCCGCACCCCGCAAATGCACCCTGTGCTTATTTCACCGACGCTGCCGCGGTGCTGCTGTCCAAAGAACACACCTTTCCAGCCAGCCCAGCAGCCACGTCTCGCTCCAGTGGTTCAGGGAAAGCAGAGGGAACTCTTGAGCTCTTCAAATCGAACCCACTCCACTGGGCATCTCCCTTCCCTTCCCCTTGACTAACGATCCCGTCTTGATCATCCTCGCTCTTTTCCGATCCCTAGTTCTGTTTACGGAAGCCTAGGGCCGCCTGCGGTTGTACTGCTCTCCCTACGTTTTTTGGAGACTGGAGGTGGTGTTTTACGGTCCTGCAGCACGCTAAGGACTGTTGGAGCAGATCTGAAGGATCTGGAGGCTCCGGGAGCCGGTGACAGGAGAGTGCCCCCTCCCCCTGGGCGGGTGGGGGTAGGGAAAAGAGAAAGGGACTAGGCTTGGGGAAGGAGGCAGGGAGGCAGCTGCAGTGCTGTGAGGGGTGCGTGCGCGTGTGCCAAGCTTGCCCGCCGCCTCCTGGTTCAGTCTGCGATCTTCAGTGCGTGGGACACAGGGCTCCAGGGGCTGGGAAGCAGGAGCGGCGCCCCTCGCCCTGGCCTCTGGTCCTCTGGGCGCCTAGCGGTCTTCAGGGCCAGAGCTCTTGGGGCGGGGCGCAGGACCCGGGCCGCGCTCTCTGCCCCGCTGCTTGCGCCCAGCCTGGCTCCCTCTCCATTGAGTTTTCCCGAAGCGGGCGCCCATCAATGGTCCTGCTTGGGGATGCACACGCAGCTCACGGCCGGAGGGGGGTAGCAGCCGCCGCCTCCAGGTACCGGCCCTCCTGGGTCTCTGCCACCACCCGCTGCTGCCGCTCAAGCCCCAGGCGCACTGAGGTCCTGGCTATGGGGCTGCTGAGACTGCCTTTGCTGGCGTGAAAAGGGGCAACGAGCCGCCAGGCTCTGGGATCCCCAGCTACCTGCATGGATGTCTTCAGCTTTGTGAAGATTGCAAAGCTTTCCAGGTAGGGACCGCGCGTGTTTTCTTTGCACCTAGGGCCGCCGCGTAAACTTGGTGCTTTATTTTTCTGGGGGCTGGAAAGAGCAAAAGCTTAAAAGAGCAGCCTGGCTTAAGGTAGGACCAAAACCAGAGGACCAGAGGCTGCTGCCTTCAACTTATTTCTCCCTTTCTGATGGGGCTTTATAGGCACAAGCATAAAGCAAACACACACACACACACACACACACACACACACACACACACACACACACACACACACACGATAGTCAGAGCAGCTTGCTTTCCTTTAGGAAAAGCCCCAGTGGAGTTTAGGGGTCACACTATATGTTAAGGGCCAAGAGAAGATGGTTGTAATCGATTTTGCTAGGAAAGCCCAAAGTACTTGGAGCTTGGGAGCTTTCCAAGCAGCAAGCACCCAAAGTGTCCCCCCTTTTCCCACCTCTAAAATAGACCTCCATGCTCTGGAAAAGTCAGTTTGAAGGTTGACCCGGATGTCTCCAGCAGTGACCCAGATGGCAAAGTCATGGAGGTAGAAGAGAAAAGCTTTCAGCCATTCTTTGAGTAACTGTGGAAATCTAAAGCCTTAAAGATGTAGAAATGTGCTTCTAAGTAGCTGTTATGATTGAAACTGAAGACAAATCATCGAATCAGGCGATTTTGCCAGCAGTGCTGATGAGAGAGTAGTAAGGAACGTTGCCACGTTGGGGCCAGCGAAGTAGTATCTGGTCTGAATATTCTTCTACCCCCTGCCCTGCTGTCCTCCAAAGGCTTCATTGAACCCAACAAGTCATGTCTTGTGCTTGGGGCAATAACTGAGAGAGCTGGGTAGGAGAGGTGTTGGAAAACCATGCCTTCCCACTTCCTTCCAAGTCTGTGGCAGAGGTAGCCCTCTGCCCTGGAGGACTGGGGAAGTAGCCCCTAGGAGATAGGCATTTAAAAAAAAATTCAATATGGAGAGTACCATGCTACATTTTCCTTTTTTTTTTCGGGTAAGAGCAAAATGTGTTGATTGTATAAAGCAAGAATGAACAACCTCAAAAACCTGAGGCAGAAAAATATGTTGACTTCGATTTGCCCATCCCTATTTGAGGCACTCACAGCCCTTTGGTTTGGATATTGCGAAAACCCACAGCTCTTTGTTTTCCCTGCACATCCCCATATGCCCTCAACCATATGGGTCAACCTTCATGTCAGGCGTAGATTTCACAAGGGAAAGGATCACCATGCAACTTACTCTGCGTAGATTGGAGATTCTGGGATGCTAGTGAAATATATATCTTCGAACTGCCCATGAGAGGTCCCTGCACAGGAGAGGACAGATGTGTGAAGTAGTCAATGGCTGTAATATGGCAAATTATTTGTTTTCATGTTGATATTTAAAGGATCATGGCTTCACACCACTGTCCTATTAACTTCCTGTATGCTTCTGTCTATGACTGGATAATAGACAACTATCAAATAAGAGCTAAGGCCCAATTCTGGAATGCTGTGGTGCCCTCTGTATGATAGATGGAAATGAGACTTGGGGAGAGAAAAGTTCAGTTGAGAGTATGGGCTAAAGTAACAGAATTTTGGATGGCCTCATGCTAAAACCAGCAGGACTCACAAAACATCTAGAGACTCCATGTAGTCCTTAAACTTTGGATCCCTGGGAAAGTCAGTATTATATGTCAATGAAAAGATGTATTATATCTATTTTTGCTAGATTCTAATGTATCTTTGTGGTTTCCACAAGTCAGAGGTTTTATAAAAATCCAGGCCAGTCTCTCTCTCTCTCTCTCTCTCTCTCTCTCTCTCTCTCTCTCTCTCTCTCTCTCTCTCTCTCTCTCTCTCTCTCTCTGTGTGTGTGTGTGTACAGATGCAAGGATTAGAATCTTTTTTAAAAGAAGAGTCTAAAATTCAGGAAATGAGTATGAATTTTACTTTCTGTCCTTATGTCATCCACTGGAATGTTTGTTCTAAAGGGAGAAAGCGCTTATGCTCTGAACCAATGTGCCCACTGAGAAACCTTACAGCCTACTGGAGTGCCTCTTTTGCTCAGTTTGAGCTCCAGGATGGCCCTCAAACTGGAACAGGGATGGCTTTAAGGGGTCTGCAGCTGTTTGCTTCTGCCCTTCAAAGAAGACGTGTGTGTGTGTGTGTGTGTGTGTGTGTGTGTGTGTGTGTGTGTGTGTACTTCAAACACTGTTAGAAAAATGAAGTATAAAAGTGCTTACACGGCAGGATTTCCCTGATTTCAGAGTGAATAATCTTCCTAAAGGATTTAACTTTGATCAGTATGGTGCCTTGAATGCTTCACATTCTCCTGACTTACAGGCAAATACACACAGTCACCCTAGGTTTGGTTCTTAGCCTTGTCTTGGTTCTTAGGAACTTCAGTTTTGAAATGTTGATTCAGAAAGCAGCTGCTGTAACTGATATTTGCCAAGTGTCCGACCTGTGAGTAAAGACAGTGGTCATTAAAGAGCATTCCGAGAGAATATTAATCTATGCTAGAATCAATAAGCCAAGTGCTTTGACTTTACGAGACGCCTACATTTAACTATTCATCTACTGACTTGGTGCCTTTTTATTCACATGAAAAGTCAAAGTTCTAATTACCCCTCAAGAACCCAGTACCACCTTATCATTGTCATTTAAAACAAATACTGCCAAGCTAGATTAGCTAGCAAGTAGTGGTGACCCTTTAAGCCATCTGTGTGAGTTATGGCCCTTGATTGCATTCATTGTGTGTGGCACACTGTGTCATGGTTCTGTCCGAAGATGTTTTCGTATTCTAATTTTCTGGTTATTAAACAGCCTGATAGTTTACATGCAGTTTTTACTTTACTGTTTCCTTGGTAACAGTTATATATCATTTTTCCATCCTTGTAGATGAGAGTATTACAGATGATTGCTTTATAACCCAGTAATAGCATAAAAATAGGCCTATATTTTTATTGTTACTGCTCTTAGTGTTGACTGTTTCATTTGTAAAGCAGATGCACTCTCAAATGTTTATAGAAGAACACAGTTCAGTAGAAAAACATACGATTACTCCACTTTTGCCTGAGGGAGGTGAGTTGATACCTCGAATTCATAGGGGTTTTATTAATCTGAGCAATGCATTCATGAATTGAGTGGTAAACTTCATTTCTATTTGATGGTAAGGTCACAAGTATTGATGTGAAGATTCTTCATTATGGCAGTAAGAAAATTCACAGCAAGCTATATTGTACATTTTTAAATTGTTTCATGAATTATTTTACTTTGCCGTTGTTATTATTTTGGTATGTAGCAGTGACTAAAATGTGTGATAACAAAGTGCTAATTTTGTTGCAAATATCTTAACTTTTGAAGAAGAGTGAAATGTTTTCATTTATAGTTTGATTTTTGATAGAAAACTTACTTAGATACAATGAAATTTGTTTTGTTTTTCCTTTACGTTATCCAGAATAAATCACTTCCTGGGGAAGAGGGAAGTTAAAGAAGGAGGCAAAAGAGTAGAGGCTTCTAGGCTCCTCTATTTTTCCCCAAGTAATTTTGGCAATGGCACTGATAATGGTGAGCTCTGGAGATTAGCAGTGAAAGACCCTGAAGACTCTGGATTTGAATTTTATTAAAGATGCTGCTTGCTTGTCTTCTGAGTCCTTTCTGGTTCTGCTGACTTCTATGGCTGTCAGGAGGTGAAATGATGAAGAGTTTCATAACAGAACTAGATTCCTGTTTTAGGAATATTTAACTTTGGTTTCCCAGGGGCTGCTAGTGTGCACTGAATGAGTCTAGTCACTCAGCTTTAGGGAGAAGGCATCTAGCTCATGCTCCCTGCCATTACAATGCCCTCCCCTCCTCTCTCTCTCTCTCTCTCTCTCTCTCTCTCTCTCTCTCTCTCTCTCTCTCTCTCTCTCTCTCTCTCTCTCTGTCTTTCCCATATAAACTGTGGTGATGGTGAAACTTGTACTTTAAAAACAAGTCCTAGAAATTTTTGCTTTCTGCTTATAGCTCTTGCAGCTAGCTGGTCATTCTCTCCCTTCTATACAGACACACAGAGGCATACAGATAACACCACACACACACACACTCAGTTTGCCATAGTAGTTTAGCATTATTAGTGGATAAGCCATGGATCCATATGCTTTTTCTTTTCCTTTCTTTTTCTTTTTCTTTTTACTGTGCTGGGGATGGAATGTAAGACTCTGTGCATGCTCCTCCTGAACAATACTCCTAGCCTCTAGAAATACATTATCTTTATGGAACCATCTTGAAAACATTGATTTCTTCTCTTAACATAGTAGAAAAAATTGAGGCTTTAAAAAAGATTGTTGAAACATACATGTAGTCCTGGAATTCACCACCCTCATATATCGTTAAGTACTTCTTTTGTTGTTGTTTCTTTTTGTACCAGAGTCTCACTGTGTAGCTCTGGCTGGCCTGGAACTTTCTATGTAGACCAGGCTGGTCTGGAACTCAGAGACCTACCTGCCTTTGCTCCTGAATGCTGGGATGAAAGGCATTCAACACATTCTCTGCTAATATCATTTTGTTTTTATTGGGGGAGGGCATGTAGTTAAAGCTGTTCTCAAACTCATTATGTAGCTGAGGATGACATTGGAACTTCTGATACTCTTGCCTCCTTTTCCTAAGGCTGGGATTACAGGGATAAAATACCACACCTGATTTATGTGGTACTGGGAATCGAACTAAGGTCTTCATGCAAGTTTTTCAAGTATTGTCCCCACTGAGCTCAATCCCTAACCCTATGAGATGATCTGGAACCTTATCATATCAAAGAGAGAATTATGAGAAGGTTAAACCAGCAGGATAGAAAAATATGATTTAAATGCCAAATCTGGCTTGCTATTATGGGACAGTCTGGGGAAATAAGAATGAACTTATTTTTAAATGGTTTAACAAAACAAAAGAAACAATGTGAAATTAAAATTCTGGTGTCCATAAATAAAGTTTTATTGGAGCACAGCCATGCTCATTCGTTTTATAGTGTCTATGCCTGAATTTTCTGTACAACAACAAAGTTGAAAACATGCCATAGAAATGCTGTTTCCCAAAGTCTAAAATGTTTACTGTCTCTTATAGAAAACTTTACTTTTTTCTTCCTTCCTTCCTTTCCTTCTTTTTCTTTTCTTTTTTTAAATGTCTTATTTGTTCTTTGAGAATTCATGCAATGAATTTTGACTGTATGCATCCTTTCACCCTGCTCCTCTTGGATATACCTCTCCTTTCCTACCCACCCAACTTTGTGTGCTTTTCCCCCCCACCAATCAAGTCCAATATGTGCTGCCCATATGTTCATGGATGTGTGGCCTCCTACTGGAGCATCTTTGACCTACTGATGACAATACTCTTAAAGAAAACTGACTCTTCCATTGTCAGCAGCTAAGGACAGCACATAGATCTTGGGCTGAGATTTAATCTGGCTTGAGGTTGTATGGGGCTTGTATATGCTGTCACAATAGATACGTGTTATATGTATAGCTGCCCTGTTGTGTCCGGAGAACACTGATTCCTTGTAGTCTTCTATCACCTCTGGCTCTCACAGTGATCTGTCCCCTCTTCCACAATGATGCCTGAACTGTGGGAGGGCTGAGAAATTTGCAGGTTCTTATTCTCTGTACTTGGATCACTTGTGGGCTTTGTATTGATCACCATCTAGGGCAAACAGAAGTGTCTCTGATGAGGGTTGAGAGATGCATCTATCTGTGGGTATAGTGATATATCATTAAGAGTCAGTTTAATACTTATGTCCATTGAGGAAAACAAAACAAAAACAAACACAAACAAACAAAAACATCAATTGGTTCTATCCTAGGGCCTGTGACAACCTACCTGGCCACAGAGAGAGTCTTATATAACTCAAGCTGGCCTTATACTCTCAATTCTCTTGCCTCTACCTCCAAAGTGCTGGAATTACAGGGGTACACAATTACACCCAGCTCTAGTAGTTTTTCCTGTTTTTCTTTTTTTTCTTTCTTTGTCACTGTCTGGACATATGTAAACACATGTGCTCACACACAATATAGAATGTTAAGTATTCAAATTCACTGACATATATTCACAATTAATCTAAACTTTATTTTTATTAAAACTTAAGATGTTCAATATTTTAGCTGTTTGAACTTGGCCCTCACAAATGATCATAGTTCTCCCACAGGTTGTACCTGGGAACATTAATCATGCAGATTCTTTGGTCACTCAACTTGCTTGTTTTCTTTGGACTGGTGAATTGCTCTGCAGAGTATCAATGGCCTTTCAGAGGCTTTTAAACTTATAGTTCAACTTGGATGAAAAATGAGTGGCAATAATTCTGGGAAAACTTCCCCTAGCATGTGCCAGGTGATGGAGTGAATGGGAGAATGCTAGGATTTCCTTACAGTACACTTGAGCCATCTGATCCTAATGGCAAGTGGCCTTCATTAATCTGTTTCCAAAGGAAATGCTAGATAAGTAGATTTCGTTGTAGGCAGAGGAATCCAGGTAAGCTGGATCAACGTGGAATTGAGCCGAACTTCACTTTTGTAGAATTTCACACACAGAGAGCCTTAGAGTGAAAAACCTTTTTTATACCACTTTGTTCAGCTCACTTCTTTAGTAATTAGGGTCATTATGCACTTAGGCTCGGGGAGTTATCTTGAAGAAATCTAAGCCTTGGTTTTAGATAACAAAGTTAACATTCCCAATTTTTTCCTAGCAAAGAGAAAAGAAGAATTTCCTGACTGAACTGTGACATTTTCAAGTAGGGTTTACATATTTGGCATGTGGCAAATACTCTATACTAAATAAGAAGTGAATGAAGTTGTATACAATTCAGTCTAATTCAAGTTGCAAATCAGTGGTCATATATGCTTAACTAAACAATGACTACAATTGGTATTTCTTGAATGTTAACAAATGCAAATATTGAAGTGTTAAAAATAAATGGCCTGAGGTCTGGAGAGATAGCTCAATAGTTAAGAATAGTGGCTGGGTTCAATTCCCAGCACCCACATGGTGGCTCACAACCAGTACTAGGGGATCTAACACCCTCTTCTGGCCTCTGCAGGTACCAGACATGCACATGGTATATATAACTAATCCTAGAAGCCACTTCCTACTAATCATTCCTGTACCAGGGTCAAGAGTGGTAGAGTGGACCATGCACGGCATAACAGAAAAGCATTCAACTCAAGGAGCCCTTGTGAAACCAGCATAGCTAGACATGTGACCCAAGGTAGAACAGACAGAGACACTCAAAGTCAACTGGGTCGTGATACATACAAGTTGAATGTAGACAGACATACATTCAGGCAAAACACTTGTACATATAAAAATAAATAAGTAAATAAATCTTTAAAATAAAATAAAATAAATGACTTTGGTCTCAGAAAGCAAACTTTAACTTTTTTCCTCAGTATGATCAATGAGTAAAATGTCATCAACTTGGGCCTAGAAGAAACTTGAGCTTTGCTGATATCATCTCCGTGACCAAAGTTATAATTGAATTAAAATTAATTTTTCTAGGTGTTTATTGTAGGAAAAATGGTTTGAAGAAGGAAATTAATCTCCCTATAATGACCATTTACTGCAGGGTTGTGGTTTTTATTTGGGTTATTTTTTGTATGTCCTTAAATTTTATGACATCTTCTGCTTAGTTGAAAATAAAACATGATTATCTGACAGATACACTCAAAATTAGTGTTGAAATTTGCCCAGTAAATATAAGACTGCACACAGTAGTCTATTTAGTTGACACAGTTGTTCACTTCATGGGAACTCACAGCCAAGTTGACTTTGAGTGTCTCTGTCTGTTCTACCTTGGGTCACATGTCTAGCTATGCTGGTTTCACAAGGGCTCCTTGAGTTGAATGCTTTTCTGTTACGCCGTGCATGGTCCACTCTACCACTCTTGACCCTGGTACAGGAGTGATTAGTAGGGGGTGGCTTCTAGCAGTTTGTTCCAAACCAGTCACATGTATAAATGAATTGTGGCTCAGGGCAATGCCCTCATCTCTGGCACTGGGCCCAAGTTGACAAACAAAGGACCACTTAATTTGTTTACCATGACTTTTTGTTACTTATTATACATTAACTATCCGTTTTCATAAGCAGAGTTTCACTGAATCTCAGCCTGACCCAGTACCCACTGATTGTATTATTTATGGCCACTTTTGGGGGTGTCCCAAAGTTGAGGCAGAGACCATGAGACTTTTAAGGCCCACGATATTTATGAGATCTACCTGCCCTTTCCACAAATATGATATTTGACTGTCCTTCCTTGATCTTTCCCTACCCAGTGTATCAGTTCCCTTTAGGGCTAGAGCCATGTGCGTGGTGTAATCTGCTTGACTAAGGAGAGGGAGCATCAGCACCTTCCCTGAATCAGCATTGCCAACCCTCTCTACAAGTCTTGGACACTTAACACTATGCAAGTGGTCCTGACAGGGTTTGGAAGTTCTACTCATACAGTCTTTGGGGGAACCTGGAAGATACAAGCTTCCTGATCCTCAATGTAGGATTCTATATAGTTGATAGATTGGGAGATGTATAAAAGACAGGGTAGAAGGATTTGAAGGGTTATGGTCTGTATTAAAGCCCTTCATCCTTCTACGCATTTTCAAATATCCAGAGCTCTAGACACATCTAATTATGTGGAAAGCTGTGGAATTTCATTTAGTTGTATATCCTGTCATTCCTAGACATGCTGGTCCCTTCCTTTTTCATAATATTTTTTTTTTTTGAAAGGGGGTCTCATGTATCCAAGACTGGCCTCAAACTCACTTCATAGCAGAAGATGACCTTGAATTTCTATTCTTCCTGCCTAGACTGCCTGGGTGCTAGAATTGCAGGCATGAGTCACTATACCTAGCTTTTGTCAACCTAGAGATATAACTCAGGATTTCATGCATTCTAGGCGAACATTCTACCAACTGAATGAGCTACATCCCAGCCTCTTCATAACACTTACTCACTATGTGGTAGGTTGCATTTTTTTCCTAATTTTTTATCATTGTGATAGGATCATAGGATGTAGCCCTGCCTGGCCCAGAACTTACTATGTAGATTATGCTGGCTTAAAAGTCACAGAGATCTACCTACCTCTGTCTCCTGAGTTCTGGGATTAAAGGTATGGGCCATCATGGTTGGCTCTTAAACCTCTTAAACCTCTCCTGAATTTAAGCCTTTCTATGTGGCATTGCAGTTCCTTTCACTAGAGTTGGGGTATATTTCCTGCTCCATTGCATTGGGTTTGGTCCAGTGACTTTCTTTGGTCATTGGAACACGGGTAGGGGTCACAAAACAAAATGTCCATTTTAATAGAAGAAAGCTTTTATTATGTGTTTCTTTTAAACTATTTATCTATTATTATTGTATGTGTATGGTATATGTGTGTCACTGCATGTGTATGGAGGTCATAGGACAGCTTTGTGGATTTTATTCTCTCCTTTCACATTTATATCGGTTCTGGGCATCAAACTCAGGTCACCACGTATTGTGGTTTGAATGAGAATGACCCCCATAGGGTCATATATTCAAATATTTGATCCCCAGTTGATAAACTATTTGTGAAAGAATAGGAGGTGCGACCTTGTAGGAAGAGGTATGTCACTAGAGTTAGGCTTTGAGGTTTCAAAAGTGCATACCATTATCATTTAGCTCTCTCTGCCTCCTACTTGCTGATAAGGATGTTAGCTCTCAGCTACTCCTCCAGTACTATGCCTGCCTGCCTGCTGCCATGTTCCCCATCATGATGGTTATAGACTTACCCTCTGAACCATAAACCTCCAATTGAATGTTTTCTTTCATAAGTTGGCTTATTCTTGGTGTTTCTTCACATAAATAGAAAAGTAACTAAAACACTGTGGTTGCATTGCAAGAAGTTTACCCTTGAGCCATTGCCAACCTTGTTGCCCATTTGTTTATTGCTTCTAATATGAAGAACTTCTTGGCTTGGTTTGACCTGTTGGTCCCAGAAGCTATATTCATCTTGAGGAGTACCATCTGGCAAAGCTGGAAACATGAGAACAGATGGTTCCTTTCCTATGATGCCATAGATGTGGCTTCGTGATGCCAGTGGTTGTTCAAGGTTAATGGTATTATGAATGAGTACGATTTTAGGTTGTGTTCCATTTATGAGCTCTTTGAGAGTAAATCCCCTTTGTTTGGAACTTCCTTTGTTCATAATATTTGGTAGGTTATGGATGAATTAGGGTAAAGACTTACTGTGTTCCTATACTGTCAAATATTACTTATCACAGATATTCCTGCTTTGGGAATTCATTCAACAGAGTAGAGTGTAACACCACTGCATGTATATTATACTCATTGAACACTTGGCAATGAACCACTGTCTATATCTATAGCTCAAGACCCAGCCCTACATCTGGGCCTTCTCTGTCATTCTCATTATTGTTTTCTTTTCCTTCCTTCTAGTCTTGACAGTTCTATTGTAAACCATGCTATCTTTACTGCCAAGTGAAAGTTTAAATCATGCTTATACAATACTTGAAGATTTGATAATAAGAGGTTTGTGTACTGAAATATAATGTTACAAAGCATATTGTTTAATATTTTGTATATACTATAGCAAGAGAATGAAGTAAAGGACCAGAAAATGAAGTGCTGCACTCGCTATTCCAGATAACAGGCATTATTTTGCTTATGTTTGACTCAGAGTTAGTTTCCTTATTTCTCTTTTAAAATGTTGCACCAAATGAACAAATTGGAACAAATGGGATTATGAAAACTTGCTTAAACACTAATAAGAAATATGACATAGCTATGAAAATAAGAAAGCATTGCTGCTTGCTGTGATGTAGAAAGAGCTACAGGTACATTTATTGCTACGTGAAAGCAATAAGGTATGAATCAGCTTTAAAAGACTGCATTCAAATGTCTGGAAGGATATATAAAATATTACTAACAATATTTAGCTTTGTGAAGCTGTAGTACTCAGAGTATTGTGTAAGGGAGTAGGAGACATGAGGCCACTGGCTTCATATTCCAAGCTACTTTTTATGTTTTTTTAAATTTGATTTTGAATCCAAGGAGTATGTTACATGTTTACCAATAAACTTGGATTTTAAAGATGTTAATGGAGTACCTACATAAACCCAAGGCATTGAGCACACTAACAATATATTCTTAACGCTTTTTTCTGATTGTAAAAACAAGACTTTTACAATAAAGATCTTACTTCAAATTTTATAATACCAGATGAGGGGCTGGAGAGATGAATCAGAAGTTAAGAACAATTGCTGTTTTTCCAGGGGACCTGTGTTTGATTTGCTATACCAACTTGGTAGCTCACAACTGTCTGTGACTCAAGTTCCAGGGGATCCAAGGCCCTCTTCTGCCTATTCAGGCACCAGATAGGCATGTGGTACTGACATACATGCAGGCAAAACACCCATATACATACAAAAAAGAATACCCAAAGGAAAAGATAGCTTTGACATAATCATTTAGCCTTCTGTTTTCTATTTGTCTCACATAGATTATATAAACACAAAAATATACTTAAGTTTTCAAAAAATATTATGTTCTCATGTCATTAACCACTCTTTTAACAACCACATGAAGCAGCATTTACTTAATTATTTTCTATTTCATTAACATTTAGATTGTTTTCAGTGTATTGCTTTGGATAACAATGTGATGAATTTTTTTTACAGAAACTTCTTTGGATGCCATAGACAGATTTTTTTTATGACACCAATAATGGCTTACTGAATACTTCAAAACCCATAAAAATCAGAAGGTAGTTTGAGATACTATTAAAATGATATTTAAAGTTGTTGCTAAAATTGTGGACATTCTAGTTGCTTAGAGATATTACAGTTGACAAGCAGTATTTGTCATGCAAGTTATTCTAATGATAAGACTTGGAATAGTTGGTGGTGATGGATACCCAGATAGTGGTCCTAGGTACTTTTGGTAGATTTTTTTCAAGCAAATCAGACAACCTTTTGTTTCCTTATATGTATCATGGAAAATTATGTGTTATTCCTTTGGGATTTCATTTCATTAAAAAATTCTATCCTTTTATCACAAGAAAAACAGTTTCAAGAAATTTCTTATGGGACTAGAGAGACAGATCAACAGTGAAGAGCAGATACTATTGTTGCAGCCAACCTGGGTTTGGTCCCTAACACCCACTTATAGGCTCACAATTGTCTGTAACTACACATCCAGGTGATTCACTACTCTCTTCTGGCTTCAATAGGCATTGCATACAATGTGGTACACATAGACTAAGGCAGTCACACACATACATACACATAAAATAAAAAAAAATGTTTAAAACAATAAATTTCATATACGAGAAATAAAAAAAAGCATGAGACATTGTATGGCTGTAAAAGCAACAGTAAAGGAACATTCTATGTAGTGATAGAAAATGATCTCTTAAATACATTCCTTCAGGAAAGATATTAATGTATACAACAGTAAATACACTTAAGTTTACATTAAAATACTGAGAAGAGACATAAGAAAATACTATAAGTTTTATTGGAATGATGAAGGGATAGGAAAAGCAGAAAAAAATCTACTTAGATAAAACAACAATAAAAACAAGCAAACAAATGAAAACCACTAAGAAGATTGAGTAAAAGCTGAACCCATCAGCAAACTGTATAGCCTTGGCTACATGGGAAACCTAGACTTTAGCCCTGGAATGTCCAGCATAGAAAACATAAACCTTGGATAACATATAAATTACTAACCCAGGCAAGTATAGTATATAATTTCTTAGTTTTCTTTCTTTGTTTTGGACATAGTCATGTTCCCATGCCTGGCCTTGAACTCATTATTTAGTCCAGGATAAGTCAGAATTCCTGATTTTCCTCCCAAGTGCTCCAATTATAGACTTCCAGGTCAGGCAGATTTCTCTATATCATAAAATATAATATAATTTCAAATCTATGAAATTTTAATGATAATATTTCTAATGATGTTAGAAAATTAAGTAAAGCTAGATGATCAGGATCATATGATTATTGTAAACATGATCTAAGTACTTGGAATATGGGAGTATAAACAAAAATATAGGGAATGCATTTGATATTGTTGTTATTCTGTACAATAAAAACAATATATACATATATATAATTTGTTAATTATGTATAACTTATTAAGGTTTTAAAATGAAATTTTATTAATTTTGGACAGAAATATTGAAAGTCTTATGTGATGCTTTTCCCATTCACCAAAGGGAACAACTTTGTGAATTTTTGAAGAAATATATTCTGAGGATATGTCGATGGATGCTTCTTTTTTATTCTCTAACATAATTATAGTGCCATTAATTCATAATTTGGTTTTCTAATTGATATCACATTGACAGGCTGGAAAATACAAAACAATTTAACCAAATTGATGAAAAACATTGGAGACAATAAACCATCTGATCCTTCTTTCCTCCCTAAGTCTTTCCATTGTCTCCCTTCAGTGTTAATGGAGTTGTGAAAACTCTGTAAACTTACATTTCTCTACAGTAGGATGATGTGTTAAACAGCCTAGCTGTTATAGGTATACATGGTAATATTTTAGGATCAGTGCTGGAGATTGACTCCAGGATTTGTACATGATAGGCAGGTGCTTTAACATTGAGCTTAGATTGTTTAGACAAAGTTGCTATGTAGCCTAGGCTGGCCTCAAACACTCCATCCTACAGTCTCTGCCTTCTGAGAGCTGGGGCTACAGGTGTGCACTCTAGAGCCTGACACATTAACATTTTTAAATGATCACCCGAGCAGTAGTTTTGACACATTTCCTAGTTTTCATGATCATCTAGAAGTCATTTCACTTTTGCTGTGTCATAAATCAAGGGGTTGGGATTGGCAAGTCTTGTCTGTGGACCTAATCCAACCTCTTGTGTATGTATGTATTAAGCTAAGAATAGTTTTAATATTTGAAAATGTTTCCAGAAAATTAAATAGTAATAATATTTCATGACAAGTGAAAATTTTATAAA